ACCCATCTAGAAACCCATCAGTTACACAACCCAGGGCAACATGGGTTTAGAACAGGTCGCTCCTGTCTGTCTCAACTATTGGATCACTATGACAAGGTCCTAGATGCACTAGAAGACAAAAAGAATGCAGATGTAATATATACAGACTTTACAAAAGCCTTCGACAAGTGTGACCATGGCGTAATAGCGCACAAAATGCGTGCTAAAGGAATAACAGGAAAAGTCGGTCGATGGATCTATAATTTCCTCACTAACAGAACACAGAGAGTAGTAGTCAACAGAGTAAAGTCCGAGGCAGCTACGGTGAAAAGCTCTGTTCCACAAGGCACAGTACTCACTCCCATCTTGTTCCTCATCCTCATATCTGACATAGACAAGGATGTCAGCCACAGCACCGTGTCTTCCTTTGCAGATGACACCCGAATCTGCATGACAGTGTCTTCCATTGCAGACACTGCAAGGCTCCAGGCGGACATCAACCAAATCTTTCAGTGGGCTGCAGAAAAAATATGAAGTTCAACGATGAGAAATTTCAATTACTCAGATATGGTAAACACGAGGAAATTAAATCTTCATCAGAGTACAAAACAAATTCTGGCCACAAAATAGAGCGAAACACCAACGTCAAAGACCTGGGAGTGATCATGTCTGAGGATCTCACCTTCAAGAACCATTACATTGTATCAATCGCATCTGCTAGAAAAATGACAGGATGGATAATGAGAACCTTCAAAACTAGGGAGGCCAAGCCCATGATGACACTCTTCAGGTCACTTGTTCTATCTAGGCTGGAATATTGCTGCACACTAACAGCACCTTTCAAGGCAGGTGAAATTGCTGACCTAGAAAATGTACAGAGAACCTTCACGGCACGCATAACGGAGATAAAACACCTCAATTACTGGGAGTGCTTGAGGTTCCTAAACCTGTATTCCCTGGAATGCAGGCGGGAGAGATACATGATTATATACACCTGGAAAATCCTAGAGGGACTAGTACCGAACTTGCACACAAAAATCACTAACTACGAAAGCAAAAGACTTGGCAGACGATGCAACATCCCCCCAATGAAAAGCAGGGGTGTCACTAGCATGTTAAAGAGACCATACAATAAGGGTCAGGGGCCCGAGACTGTTCAACTGCCTCCCAGCATACATAAGGGGGATTACCAACAGACCCCTGGCAGTCTTCAAGCTGGCACTGGACAAGCACCTAAAGTCGGTTCCTGACCAGCCAGGCTGTGGCTCGTACGTTGGTTTGCGTGCAGCATGCAGTAACAGCCTGGTTGATCAGGCTCTGATCCACCAGGCCGCCTGGTCACAGACTGGGCCGCGGGGGCGTTGACCCCCGGAACTCTCTCCAGATATATAGTCCAGATATATGTTAGTGTAAACTTGTTATCTGGCATTTATATGCCAGATAGCAAGTTTAAAATGGCATTCTGCTTTCCGGCAATGTCCTCTTTCCGGTGGTAGCCTGGAACCTAACCTGCCGTATAAGTGGGGCCCTACTGTATATTTATTTGATAGGGATAGTGGGGTAGAATTCTTCCTCTGTAAGTCATAAGTGTCATAAAAGGAGACTAAAACATCAGGATTAAGGGGGCAGAAGGTAGTAATATCTTCTTTCAACAAACCAGCCATATCGTTTTCTCTGTTGAATTACTTAACAGTCAAAGCAAATTTTGAAATTTGGGAGTTTGAATGTGTGTGGGGGTATGGTACAGGTAAGAAAGAATTGATTGTTTTTGTTACGAGTGAAAAGAGGCAAGATGTCCTCGCACTAGGTGAAACAAAGCTAAAAGGGGTGGAATAATTTGATGGGAAAGGTAAATGGGAAGAGGCAAGATGTATTCTGAGAAAATTAGAGCTAAGGTAGGAGAAGCAGTAATATTAAACTATTAATTATGGAAAGAAGAGGGGTATTAGAAGTTTATAATTTCAATAATTATATGGGTTAGGAAAAAAGTGATATGCGAGAAGTGAGTTACAGTGAGTGTGTATGCACTTGGGGGTCTAAAGGCATATAAAAAAGATTGATTTTGGGAAGTGTTAAGTGAATGCATAGGGACTTTTGAGACAAGCGAGAGAATTATTATTGCAGGGAACTAAATATTAGTGAGATTTCTATGGGTGGTATAGTAGGTAAGTTAGGAGTGCCAGGGGTAAATGAAAATGGAGAACATTTAATTGTGTGTAGAAAATGGGGTTAAGTAATAGGTAATACATATACTGTACTTACTTTGAGGATAAATAAGTACAGTATACAAAATATGATATAAGGTGCAGTGATAACAGTGTTAGACTATGCATTAGTAAACAGAACTGGACTTATGGATGTGCTTGTTTTAAAAGCAACAGATATGTCAGATTATTATTTAGTGGTAGCAAAGTAAGGGGCCAGATGGAGTACAAAGAGATTGGCAGCAATGAGTAAGTGGGAAATGAAAATAAACTAATGGAGAGAGAGAGAGAGTTTCAGAAAAAATATAAGCAACAGTTTCAGAAAGGATATAAACAACTATTGGGGAAAGATGGGCCACAGAAAGTGCAAGAAATGAGGTCAGAGAGAAGTAAACTTAAGAATTCATGGCTTGAGTGCACACTTGAGGTTTTGTGGCCATAGGAGGGTGGGTATGGGTGGGAAGAGGAACAGTTGGTGGAATGATTAAGTGAAGGTGATAATAGATGGAAGGGGGATGTTAAGAGTGGTGAGGGAGTGTAAAATGAAAGGATATATTAGTCTTTATTTGTTTTGGAGAAAGATCAATAAGGTGAAGAAGCCTGGAGAGCAAATGGACTTTCTTTCAACACACCGGCCGTATCCCACAGAGGCGGAGTGGCCCAAAAGGAAAAACAAAAGTTTCTCCTTTCACATTTAGTAATATATACAGGAGAAGGGGTTACTAGCCTCTTGCTCCCGACCAAATGGACTTAACAGTTAAAAATAAAAGAGGGAAGATGTTAGATGGGAGGTACTGGAAAGATGGAGAGTTGTTGAATGTTTATGTGAAGGGAAGGTGGCAATTTAATGCATGGGGCAGGAAGGCATAAGATGATATAAGAGTGAGGAGTAGCCTGAGTTGGATGTGGGAAAGGTGTGTGAAGCAGTGTGTAGAATGAAAGGGCTTTAAAGCAACTGAGTTAGATGAGATTAAGACACACTGAATAAAAGGTGGAGATAGTGTTGGTGAGGTTGGCATGTTTGTTCAATATGTGCATGAAAGAAGGGAAGGTACCACAGGATTGGCAAAGAGCATGCATAGTTCCCATGTATAAAGGAAAAGGGGTCAGAGAGAGATTGTGTGAATTATAGGGGGATAAGCCCATTGAGTATACTGGGTACAGTATATGGTAGAATTATTATTAAAAGGGTTTGGGATTAAGAAAGAAAGATTGCAGAGAAACCGGGAAGATTTAGGCAGGACAGGGGGATGTGTAGACCAAGTGGTTTACATTGAAGCATACCAGTATTAAGATAAAGGTAGAGCCTTTTGTTGCAGTAGAAAAGAAAACATTTGATGGGATGGATAGGAGAGTCATGTGGCAGAAGTTGCAAATGAATGGAATAAGAGGAAGGTTACTAAAAAGCAGTTGAGATTTTATGCAGAGTGAGGAACAAGTTAAGGTATATAGAAAGAAGGGGGCCTATTTCCCAGTGAAAGGAGGACTTAGATATACTTGCATTATATCACTATGGTTTTTAACATTTAGAAATGAGGGTTGTAAAAGAAGTGAATGCAAGGGTGTTGGGAAGAGATGTGGGTTTAAAAGATGTTAGATCTGAGGCAAAGTGGGATTTATCATAGTTGCTCTTGCTGATAATGTAGTTCTTTTGGAAGATTCTGAAGAAAAATTGCAAGGGTTAGTGGAATTTGGAAGGGTATGTGAAAGAAGAAAATTAAAAGTGAATGAAGAAAAGAGCAAGATGATTAGGGCAACAAAAAGACTAGGTAATGATAAACTGAATTTCAGATTGGAGAGAAGGGGTCTGGAAGATGTGGATGTCTTTAGGTATTTGGGAGAAGACATGTAAGCTGATGGGTCTGTGAAAGACTATTATTATTATAATCATCAAATTAAACTCTGAATTCATAAGGGTAATACAGTACGAAAGACGAGGGGAATCGTGAAAAAGATGATTGGAAAAGAAAGGTGGGTGGTGTATTGAGACTTGTAGAAAGAAAATAGTTTATCTATGGAGGGAAAACAAGGAATGTACCAGAGTGTAGTGGTGCTAATACTTTTATATGGGTGTGAGGAAGGGGTTCTGAATGTTGCAACAAGGAGGCAGCTAGAGACAGTGGAAATTTGTTTGCAGAGAAGCTGAAGTACAGAAATTAAAAGACAATATGGGATTAACAAGGACATAATTCAAGAGGGCTGAGGAGGTTTATGTTAAGATGGTTTGGACATGTAGAAAGGATAGAGAGGAATAGGATGATAAAGGTAGATAATGTACGTATATCTGGGGTGGAAGGTGGATGTAATAGGGGTTGTTCCAGCAGTGGTTGAAGTGGGTAAAAAGAGGCTTTGAGTGTTAGGGGCTTGAGCATCCATCAGGGTTGTGTTAGGAATGAATGGGGACAAGTGGTATTTAATGATTGTGCTATTGGAGTGTGAGCAAGGTAACTTTATGAAGGGATTCAGGGAAACAGGCTAGCCGGACTCGAGTCCTGAGGTGGGGAGGGCAGGCCCTGCACTTTGGAGAGGTGGGAGTGTTGCAGTTGAAGGATAATCTGAACTGTGATATCAGCACACTATTTAAGACAGCACTTTAATTAATAATGGTGAATATTTTTTTCTTTGCATCTCCTGCCATGGCAGTCGGCTGCCATCCAAGTAAAAAGAAAATTAGAAATTACAAAAGTTTAATGCAATGCAAAAATTGCAAGGTATAATGTGATTTATACTTTCTCTTGCTAGCAAAATTAGTAGATATTTTATTACTGTAAAAATTCTTTAAATTAATAACATTAACAAGAATTAATATATCAACAGCATAATATTCGGGATGAAATCAGCAAGCGAATTCATATGATGAGAATGATGTGGCTTGATGGTAAACTCAACGTAGTGGTTCAGAAGCGGATGCTGTCCCTTGCTGAAGGTAAGAGTCATGTTGTTCAGTCAACATGTATACAAATAAATAAACAGCAGATCTGGAGGAAGGATGAGTATGTTGCAGTTTGGAGGGTAATCCAAGATATAATGTCAACATGCTCCTTGAAAGACAGTGACTGAATGAATGATGGCAAATGTTTCTTTTTTTGGGTTACCCTACCTGTGTGGGATATAGTCAGTGTTAAAAAAAATATATATACAGCACATGTACATGGCATATATTTATCAGTTCTGATAGTAGGGTTGGCCACAATATAAACTGCCTAGGCATTCTTTACTTTTCAACAGAATTGTTTGACACCAATGTAATAGCTTGTACCTTTTTTCTAAGAAAATGGCTACAATTTTCTAATCATGTAATATTTATATATTTTTTATTCACATGAATGCAACCAATGTAAAAATTTCATGGGATATTGTGAAAAAACTATCTTGTGCAGCATCATGCACAGTTTTATTTATAAATGCCCTTTAAGGGGGTGCCTTGATGCTGATGAAAGGCATTTGTTCCTTGGAAATGGACATACAATTTCCTTTGTAGCTTTCAACAGTAGCATATTTTTTTGCCTTGGGTAATATATGTCAGTATTTATTATAACTTTAGTTTTTATACCGTGTAATTGGCTTAGGATTATTTATTATTATTATTATTATTATAATTATTATTATTATGGAGGAGGAGGAGCGCTAAACCTGTAGGGATTATACAGCACCAGTAGGTGGGGGGTATAGAAGACCTTCAGACTTAATTCAGGAAATTGGTGCACACCAGATTAAGAACCCTTCACCAGCATTAACCCGTTGAGGGTCCGTGCCGTAGATCTACGGCTATACGTTGAGGGTCCAAACCGTAGATCTACGCCATGAGCTCAGCTCACTCTGATAAGCTGTGAGTGGTAAATTTGGGCCTAGATATGAGAGAATACATCTATGTGGTATGTGTGCACCACATAAAACATCCTGCAGCACACAGTGCATAATGAAAGAAAAAACTGAGACCGTAATTTTCGATTAAAACAGTGGCTTTGCAGTGTTTTTTCGTATGTTTTTTATGGTTGTATTTGCGATTTCTTGGTCTCTTTTGATAGAATGGAAGATATATTACAGAAATAGAGATGATTTTGATTGGTGTTAGTAATGGAAATGGGTTGAAACAGCTCAGAATAGCAGAAATGTTAAATTTTTGCCAATGTTCAAGAGTAAACAAATGATCCCACACGTCTAATACACACCAGCTGGTGGGTCTGATATATGTTCACAAATATGGTGATATTATTTATGCAATTATTACAATATTGCATAACAATAAATCTTCTATTTTTTGGTTTAAATAAAAATTGGAATTCATTTGTAAAGCCTGAAAATGTAACTAATGAATAGAGGAAATGTTGGTTTAGTTCCAGGAATGCTTGCATTGTTTATTCTGGACCCTATTTTGAAATTAGAATATTTTGAACTTTGCATTAAATTGGCCAAATTACCAATTTCCGGTCACTTTATTTTGTAGTTAAAATGGTTGACTTGGCGATTTCTTGTGCTCAATCGATAGAATAGAAGTAATACTAGTGAAATAGCTAAGAATTTGGTAGACTGGAGTAATATAATTGGCCGCAAATGGGAGTCAAAGGTCTGCAAAATTGCCGATGCGTAAATATCGCTGACACATCAAAATTCGCGGGAGCATAATTTCGTCAATTTTCCATCAAATTTCATACTTTTTGTTTTATTACCTCCAGAAAAAGATTCTCTACCATTTCATAAGAAAAAATAGCAAAATTATTTTTTGAAAATTCTTGGACACTGGTGTGCACTTTGAAATTTGGCCTTTGGACCCTGAAAGGGTTAAGCAACCTCCCTTGATGGAAGGCTTAGGATTTAAGAAGTGTTGGGTGTATTGACCAAGTATTAACATTGAAACAAATAAATGAGCAATACTTAAAGCTGAGACATTCTTTGTCACATCTATGAATTTAGAGGAACCAGACTTGAGTCCTGGAGGTGGGAGGTACAGTGGAACCCCGGATTTCGTCCGGTGCGGATACCTTACAATTTGAATTTCAACCACTTTACCACTTTTTTCAGCAAAATTTTACCCCGGGTTTCATACCTCCACTCAGAAATTGTCCATATCAGATGCGTCCGCCCACCCAGGATATGCCGCTCACACATACGTGACAGTCTGCCTCTGTCACTTGTTGAGTGAGTAATACTCCACACGTTCATCTGAAACATTTCGTAATAATCGATTGCTTTTTGTGCTTGTTTATTGAGCACGACTGCTAAATAAGCCACCATGGGGGAAAAGAAGGTTTGGATGGTGGTAGTGATGGTGGTAGAGGGTGGTGGTGATGGTGGTAGTGATGGTGGTAGTGATGGTGGTAGAGGGTGGTAATGATGGGGGTAGAGGGTGGTAGTGATTGTGGTAGAAGCTGGTAATGATGGTGGTAGAGGGTGGTAGTGATGATGGTAGTGGTTGTGATGGTGGTAGAGGGTGGTAGTGATGGTGGTAGAGGGGTGGTAGTGATTGTGGTAGAGGGTGGTAGTGATGGTGGTAAAGGGTGGTAGTGATGGTGGTAAAGGGTGGTAAAGGGTGGTAGTGATGGTGGTAGAGGGTGGTAGTGATGGTGGTAGTGATGGTGGTAAAAGGTGGTGGTGATTGTGGTAGAGGGGGGTAGTGATGGTGGTAAAGATAACCTCTCCTTCCTCCCCTCCTCACCTTCTTCCATACGCCAACAAGAGTCTCCAATACAGGTATATAATAGTGATTTAATTGTTCATTTATCCATTAAAATTAGTCATTTATATTTATTTCTCATTGTTTTCTGTATGTAAAACTATAGTTATTCTCTATAAAATGCATTTTTGTTAATATTTTTGGGTGTCTGGAATGGATTAAGTGGATTTACATTATTTCTTATGGGAAATATTACTTCGGTTTTCGTTCATTTCGGATTTCGACTGACCTTCTGGAATGAATCGAGAATGAAAACCGGGATTCCACTGTACAGTGCCTGCACTCTGAAGAAGGGCTAGGGATGTTTGCAGTTTTGAACTGTAGTATCGGCACCCCTCTGGCAAGATGGTAATGGAGTGGATGATGATGAAAGTGTTTCTTCTTTTTTGGGTCACCCTTCCTCAGTGGGAGATGGCCAGTTTGTCAAAAAAAAAAAAAAAAAAGTATACTAGGGTAGATAGCAAAGCAGATGGTGCAAGTATTTGGAATAGGTGGTAAGTTAGTAAAAGCAGTGAAGATTTTTTATGTGAACAGTAGAACTCAGTTTAGGGTACATATGTAGGAAAGAGGGGGGATTATTTCCCAGTAAAAGTATGCAGTAAACAAAGATGTGTGATGTCACCATGGTTGTTTAACAAACATAAAGAAAAGAAGTGAATGCTACAATGTTGAGGAGAGGCGCAGGATTCAAAGACAATGAATGATACAAAGTAGTTGACACAGTTTCTCTTTGCCAATAACAAATTTTTGGGGAAGATTCAGAAGAGAAGTTGCTAAAGTTGATTTAAGAATTTGGGAGGGTATGTAAAAGATGGAAATTAAAAGTGAATATAAAAATGAGCAAGGCAATGGAAGATTAAGTAAAAAGTCTAGGCAGTGAAAGATTGGATATCAGATTAGAGAGAGGGAGTATTGATGAAATGTATATTTGGTATTCAGATATTTGGGAATGTACATTTAAACATATGGGGCTATGAAAACTGAGGTGAACAATAGAATGGATAAAGAGACTAAAAAAAAAGGGAACTATACCAGAGTATAGCTACCAACACTTGTATATGGGTGTGGGGCATGGGCATTACACATTGCAGTGAGAAAGACTGGAGGCAGTGTTATTGTAATGTTGATCAGTATTGTGCGAATATTATGCAGAGAATTTGGACTGTAGAAATTAAAAAATGGTGTGGAAGGTATAATTCAGGGAACTGAGGAAGGGAGTATTGAGGTGGATTGGGCATTTAGAGAGGATGACTGAGAGAGTGTATAAATCTGGTGTGGAAGGAAGGAGGGGTAGGAGTCATGCCAGGATGGGTTAGAAGGAGGGGATAAAGGAGGTTTTGATTGCTTGGGGCTTGAACATCTATTAAAATTATGTGAGCATGTTAGGTCGGAGTAGAGACGGTGTTTCTTACGGCTTGACGTGGTGTTGTGAGAAAGACAACACTTGTAAAAGAATTCAGGAAAACTGGTAAGCTATATTAGAGTCCTGCTGTCTGAAGGAGTGAGAATGTTGCAGCTTGGTAGGTTATATGAATTGTGATGTTTGCACCCTCCTGGCAAGACAGCTATTGTATGAATGATGGGAAGTATGTTTCTCTTTTTGGGTCACATACTGTTGTGGGAGATGACTGGTGTGCTAAAAAAAATTCTTATTTCTGAAACAAGATTGTTGAAAGTAGTTGGCTAACCTGGTTAATTTATTTAACCCTTTCAGGGTTTTCGACATACTAGTACAGCGTTCGCACCAGGGTTATTGACGTACTAGTTCACCTAAATTTTAGGCCTTCAAATCTAGCGAGAGAAAGCTGGTAGGCCTACATATGAAAGAATGGTTCTATGTGGTCAGTGTACACAGTATAAAAAAAATCCTGCAGCACACAGTGCGTAATGAGAAAAAAAAACTTTGACCGTGTTTTTGGATTAAAACAGCGACTTTACACTATTTTCGTATGGTATTTATGGTTGTATTCTAGTTTTCCTGGTCTCATTTTATAGAATTGAAGACATATTACAGAAATTGAGATGATTTTGACTGGTTTCACAATGAAAAGTACCTTGAAATTGAGCTCAAAGTAGCAGAAATGTTCGATTTTTACCAAAGTTCAAAAGTAAACAAATCATGCCAAGCATCGAATACATGTACGTCAACTGGTGAGTCTAGTATTCTTTCACAAGTGCACTGATATTATTTATACCATTTCTACACTAATGCAGTAGTCTGCATAACAGTAAATCTTCTATTTTTTGTAAGAATAAAAATTCAAAGTATAAAGCAAAAGAAATATAAGAGGGGCCTGGGGATGTGACTAATGAACAGAGAACTTGTTATTTTAGTGCCAGGAATGTTTGTCTTGTTTATTATGGACCCTATTTGGAAATTGGCATCTTCTGAAATTTGTGTGAAATTGGCAATTTTGCCAATTTCTAACCACTTTATTGGATAGTTGAAATTGGTAAATGGGTGGTTTCTTGTACTCATTCAATAGAAAAAATGGAGTTCTAGTGAAATAAATATGATTTTTGTCGACTAGTACACAGGAATTGGCCAAAAATAGGGCTCAAAGTGGGTGAAATCGCCGATGTTTACGCATCGGCGAGATCATTAACTTCGCGAGAGCATAATTCCGTAAGTTTTCCATCAAATTTCATACTTTTGGTATCATTATGATGGGGAAAATATTCTCTATCATTTCATAAGATTTTTTTTTTTTCCAAAAAATTTTCGACCCTGAGAACAAATTAAGGAGAGGGCCTCTCGACCCTGAAAGGGTTAACACTGGTGTTATAAATTTTTTTAAATACTTGTGCTTTTTCCACTTAAATTTTTTTAATGCTCTGGCCATCTCCCACCAAGATAGGGTGACCCAGTAAAGAAGAAAACACTTTCACTGTCACTCATTCAATCACTCTCTTAATATAATATCTTATACAGGCCTAACTGACATCAGTGACATATGTACTACTATATAGAGCATTATGGTCTAATTAGGTCAGTTTTGTCCCAGGATGCAACCCACACCAGTTGGTTAACACTCAGGTACCCATTTTACCATTGGGTGAACAGGGACAAAAAGTGTAAGGAAACTCTCCCAGTGTTTCCACCCTTGCCGGGAATCGAATCGTGGACCCTCAAAACGTATGAAGCGAGAGCTTTGCCTTCCAGGCCACGGGCCACCCTTCTTGCCAGAAGGGTACCAACATCACAGTTCATAAGACCCTCCAGACTGCAACATCCCCACCCCTCTTTCAGAGTGCAGGCAACAAACATACTTCTCACCCCCAGGACTCTAGTCCAGATAACTGGTTTTCCCTGAATCTCTTCATAAATGTTACCTTGCTCAAACTCCACTGCAAATTATAAAAACTACTTGTCTATACTCTTTCCTCCTGTCTAACATGCTCACACAAGCCAGTTGGATGTCCAAACCCCTAGCACCCAAAACCTCCTTTACCTCCCTTCCCTTGAACCTTTCCTAGGATGGCCTCTACTCCTTCCCTCCACCCCAGATTTATGTGCCCTATGAGCCATCCAATTTTTCTCCATCCTCTCTAAGTGCCCAAACCCCCTCAGGAACTCCTCCTTAGCCTTCCAAAAAATAACTCCACACTTCTTTCTGATCTCCAAATTCCTATATTTGCATAATATTCACACCACACATTACCTTCAAACACAGTATCTCTGCTTCCTCCAGCCTCCTCAGTGCAACATTCAAAGCCCATGCATAACACCTATTCTTCAGTGACAAGCCTGGCCCATGGTCAGGCTCCGGGAGTAGAAAGACTCTTGAAACTCGTCAAAGGGGTATGTATATGCTGTACTCTGGTACATTCCCCCTTTTTTGCCTCTATGGTTAAAGTTTTTTGTCTCCATACATACTTCAGTGCACAACCCAGTTTTTTTCTTTGTCAGTTCTATGGTTCACCTCATCTCTCATAAAACCATTTGCTGACAAATCCTTTCCCAAATGTATCTGACATTTAATCTCTTATTGCCTATATTTTATTATTCTCTCATCACCTTGCTCTTTCCTATGTTTACTTTTAATTTCCTTCATTTAAAGGGTGTAAATTATCTCCCAAATTTATTTACCAACCTTTGCAACTTCTCTTCAGAATCTCCAAAAACAAACTACGTATGTCATTCACAAAAAGCAACTGTGACAACTTGCACTCCATACCAGATTTACCTTCTTTCAGTCCCACACCTGTCCTTAACACTGTAGCATTCACTTCTTTTAGAACCCCACTTATAAATATGTTAAACAGTCATGATGATATCACACACTGTCTGAGGCTTACTTTTACTGGATAATACTCTCCCTCTCTCCTACATACCCTAACCTGTGCATCACTATCCACAAAAAAGCTTAACTGCTTTAAGTAGCCTACTTATTCTATACATTTGCAACATCTGCCAAATTGCTTTCATGTCTACCCTATCATATGCAGTTTCTAAATCCATAAATGGAATGAAAAGTTAATTGCCATTAACCAAATATTGTTCACTTAGGTGTTTCAATGTAAACACTTGGTCATCACATCATACCCTACCCTTCCTGAAACCTTGTTCCTCTGCAATCCTACTCTTTTACCCTTAATTCTTTCAGTAATAACTCTGCCATACATGTTACCTGGTATATTCAACTAATTTTTTTTTTTCAACAAACCGGCCGTATCCCACCAAGGCAGGGTGGCCCAAAAAGAAAAAAGTTTTTCTTTTTAAATTTAGTAATTTGTACAGGAGAAGAGGTTACTAGCCCCTTGCTCCCAGCATTTTAGTCTTACAACACGCATGGGTTACGGAGGAAGAATTCTGTTCCACTTACCCATGGAGATAAGAGGAAATAAACAAGAACAGGAACTAGAAAGAAAATAGAAGAAAACCCAGAGGGGTGTGTATATATATACTTGTACATGTATGTGTACTGTGACCTAAGTGTAAGAAGTAGTAGCAAGACATACCTGAAATCTTGCATGTTTATGAGACAGAAAAAAGATACAGTGGAACCTCAAAAATCGAACTTAATCCGTTCCAGGAGCTAGTTCTAAATTCGAAAAGTCTGAAATTCGAAGTAATATTTCCCATAAGAAATAATGGAAATACAATTAATCCGTTCCAGAAACCTAAAAATATTCACAGAAATAATACATTTTATAGAGATTAATTACAGTTTTACATACAACAAATGCTATAGTCTTTAATTATGTATAGTAATATAAAATAACATTTTTACTTACCTTTACTGAAGATTGGTGATGGCATCTGGAAGATAGGGAGGAGAAGAGAGGGAGTTGGGGTTATTGTTTGGAAGGAGAATCCCCCTCCATGAGGACTTCCGGTATCAAAGCCCTCTCTGGGGTTGCTTCCCTTCTCTGTATTTTAATGCCACTAGGACCAGCTTGAGTCATTGAACCCCAGTCTCACAAAATAACTGTCTACAGTCCTCTGTTTCTCTCACAAAATAACTATCCACAGTCATCTGTTTCTGTCTCACAAAATAACTGTCCACAATCGTCTGTTTGTCTCACAAAATAACTCCACAGTCGTCTGTTTCTGTCTCTCAAAATAACTGTCCACAGTCGTCCATTTCTGTCTCACAAAATAACTGTCCACAATCGTCTGTTTGTCTCACAAAATAACTCCACAGTCGTCTGTTTCTGTCTCACAAAATAACTGTCCACAATCGTCTGTTTGTCTCACAAAATAACTCCACAGTCGTCTGTTTCTGTCTCGCAAAATAAATGTCCACAGTCATCTGTTTCTGTCTCACAAAATAACTCCGCAGTCGTCTGTTTCTGTCTCACAAAATAACTGTCCACAATCGTCTGTTTGTCTCACAAAATAACTCCACAGTCGTCTGTTTCTGTCTCGCAAAATAACTGTCCACAGTCGTCTGTTTCTGTCTCACAAAATAACTCCACAGTCGTCTGTTTCTGTCTTGCAAAATAACTGTCCACAGTCCTCTGTACATCCTGGCAAGCTCAACAAGTCCCACTCCAATCTCATACTTCTGTATTATTTCCTTCTGCACATCTATGGTGTTTCTCACCTTCTTTACCACAGGGGTACCACTAGCAAGTTTCTTTGGGCCCATGGCAGCTTATTTCACAGCCCCACAAGCACTAAACACAATTAAATAATCGTAAAATGTGTGAATGAGATCGCAGGTTAGTGTTCACTCAAGCATAAACAAAGCTAGACTGCTCACGGCGCCTGCGCGGGGACACGGACAGAGCGGGCCAGTGGACAGGTCCCGAACCTGGCGGTCCGAAATTTGAAATGCGTTCGATTTTTGGTACACAGTTTGTCCGAAAAAATGGTCTTATTTTCGAAATGCTCGATATTTGGTACATTCGATTTTCTAGGTTCCACTGTACCAGCAATCCTACCATCATGTAAAACAAATACAGGCTTTTGTTTTACACTCACTTGGCAGGACGGTAGTACCTCCCTGGGTGGTTGCTGTCTACTAACCTACTACTTACATCAACTAATTTATTCCCCTGTAATTCTTGGTCTTATTTTTTTATTCCTTATTTTTCCTCCATTTTGTTTTACATAATTATTTCTAGAAAATTATGTACAATATCCAGTATATACTGTACTGTACCATACAGTGTAGTGTATTGATTTAAGTTGACAAACTGCAATTAATTCAGATCATTTTTTCTTTCAGCGCTAAACCAACAGGAATATGAAACTGCTTGGAGTTTGCATCAGGGTCTCATTGTAGATTACACAAGTCTATGTACTCCTTGGATGGTTGGTATCAAGACATTAATATCTGAGTGCCGTAACCAATCAAACTGTAAAACAAAAAGTGTGTTAAATAGTACTGTACTAAATAAAAATGATGAAAAGTTCAAGAAAAATAAATGTGAACTAGAAGTAAATTCTGAAATGGCTATTAGAGACATATCAATCAGTGAGGAAGAAAGTAGTGTAGAGAGAAAGTGTGAGGATGGTGCCATTACATGTCACAGTGTATCCGACTGTAGTAACAATACTCAAAACACCTGAGAAAAATAATTGGGATATTGGATTAGATCAGTGATGTTTTGAGGTGGGTCTTACTGTGGCATACTTTCATGGAGAATCCAAGTTAAATGTTTGTTTCAATACCTTTGGCTACTCTGTTTCACTTGTTTTGTGTGTTGTACATACATGGAGAGTGCCTCTTCCTTTAACTCTGTGTACATATTACAATACACTACATATTTATCATTACAGATTGCTGTTTTATCTTGGCATATCTTTTGTAGGCCATTTTAATGGGTGCAGTTTTTTTATAACTTTAAAAAAAAGTTTTATTTTTTAAATTTTAATGTTTCATTGCTTGTCCCTAAAGATATAGGGACAAGTAATAAAATTGATACCTTAGGTCAGAGGGTCCAAAATTTTGAGAGTATGAAGTCTTTTAAGCTTCCAAATATTCAGCAGACTTCCATATGTTAAATCCTTATTCCTGTTATTATAGTCACACACAGTTAATGCTATAGTATGAAAAAATACCATACTATTTACTTAATGGTTTTCCACCTGTATGTGCATTGAAAAAAAAAAAATATTTTACTATTCTACAAACTCCTAAGAGCCCACAGACCACATAGTAATTCTTGATCTGGGTAATAGAAATGCTTAATTAACTGCTTTTACTTTGGTAAATTTTATTTTGTAATTCCGTTATTTTCTTGTAAACTTGGTTGAGTCTCTTTTTTTTTTCTAAATTGGCTATACCAGTAATGGTTTACTGTATTGTACCAAAGGGTTACTTTTGACATGTCCCTATTTGTATTAGCATTTATTTAGCAAAAATAAAATTAATGAACATGCTACTAGGAATTTTTATTGGCCTAAGAAAAGCTTTGACACAGTAGACCACGGCATCCTACTCCACAAACTTGACCATTATGGTATAAGAGGCCATGCGCTTGCATATTTCAAATCTTACCTTACTAATAGGTATCAGTATGTCACCATAAAAGACACAGCATCAACAACACAGCCACTTGATACTGGAGTTCCGCAGGGAAGTGTCCTTGGTCCCCTGCTCATCCTCATATACATCAATGATCTTCCAAACGTATCTCAACACCTGAACCCCATTCTCTTTGCTGACGACACGACTTATGTCATCTCTCACCCTAATCTTGCCACCCTCAACACCATTGTTAATGAGGAGCTGATCAAAATATCGACTTGGATGACAGCCAATAAACTTATGCTTAACACTGACAAAACCTACTACATTATGTTTGGTAGCAGAGCAGGAGATGCGCAAATTAACATTAAGATCGACAACACTCTAATTGCCAGGCATAATGAGGGCAAATTCCTAGGCCTATACCTCGACAACAACCTGAACTTCAGCACTCATATCCAACACATAACCAAAAAAGTATCCAAAACGGTTGGGATCCTCTCCAAGATACCATACTACATGCCGCAAACTGCCCTTCTCACACTATACCATTCACTTATATATCCATACCTCACCTATGCTATCTGTGCTTGGGGTTCAACTGCAGCAACACACCTAAAGCCAATAATAACCCAACAAAAAGCCGCAGTAAGAATAATCACTAAATCCCATCCCTGGCAACACACCCCCCCACTCTTCATAGATCTAAACTTACTCCCTGTTCAGTACATCCACACTTACTACTGTGCAATCTACATCTACAGGACCTTAAATTCCAATATTAACCTTGACCTAAAACGCTTTCTTGATAGTTGCGACAGAACCCACAGGCACAACACCAGATACAAACATCTCTATGACATTCCTCGTGTCCGACTAAACCTTTACAAAAATTCAATGTATGTCAAAGGCCCTAAAATCTGGAACACCCTACCTGAAATTCTAAAACTGCAGACACATTCATCACCTTCAAAACTACCATCAGAAAACATCTTATCTCCCTGATACACCCTGTCAACTAATTACACGAATACCACTTGGTGGTTAACACTTACACTCACCCATTTGACCATAAACAAAAAAATATCAATCTCAATCTCAAAATAATGAATCTTAACTAGTCATAAGTTGGCCTGTGATACTCCAATACTGAAACTATGTATAGTGCCAAAACAAAAGCATTCACATTGCTAAACTCACAACTAGTATTTAGTCACTTAGCCATAATACCAACTTACCTCATAATTTTGTAATATTTTAAACTTAAGATTTAATTTAAGTCTGCCCGAAATGCCTAGCCATGCTAGGTGTTCTAGTGGTACACTGTAATTATTATTTTACTACATGTAAACCATACAATAACCAAATTCTGTAAACTCAGCATTGTAATCCTTATAGAGAATAAACTTGGAATTTGAATTTGAATAAAAAATAAATGAACAAAAACAAAAACTGATCCATAAAATAACATTTCCGTGGTATTAGAAATAAATTAATAGATAAATAGCGCTTAGTTGTGATTATAATAAAATAATAATAAAAGTTAATTTTTACATTCTATTTACACTGTGAAACCATCATGTGGGATGGCACTGGACAGTCTGAAGGGAAATTCATCCTGGTCGTGGACCGGGTTGCGGGGGAGTTGATCCCTGGAACGCCCTCCAGGTGTACGCTCAGTTGAATTTCCTGTTACCGACTCCTGCAGATTTCCTTGAATTGTCCTTGATTAACCATTGAAATAAGGTTGCTGGGTTTCGAGAGTTTTACTACTCTAGGATTCCAGCAGACAGGATGGAGGACGTTTTTGATACCCATGGAGCCAGTTGCAGTGGTTGCTGTGGGTTTAGCTATAATGTCTGTATTTTGGGACAGAAAGCTGGCCTCATAGGGTTCCATAAGGTAAATGGCCACCGAGGACCGTATGCCAGAGATGTTGGCAAGCAGTGTGTGCCCAACCCGAGGTAATTCTAAGGAATGGGAGAGGTGCTGCTTTGTGAATTGTCTATTGCCATTTTCTGAACCAGGGAGACGAGGTTACTGGACCTAGCCTGGAGGACAGGCTTAGTAAGTTTCTCTTGAGGGATAAGCTTAATAAGCTCCTCCTGAGGGATAAGCTTACTAAATATAGGCTCATTGACAGTTTGAGCGTGTTCCACATGAGGAGACTCATCACTCATCGACTGAGTGTTGGGAGACTCATCACTTACTGGCTGGGTCTTGGTAGACTCATCACTCACTGGCTGGGTCTTGAGAGACTCCTCATCATTCACTGGCTTTGTCTTGGGAGACTTCTCATCTCTCACTGGCTGGGTCTTGGGAGACTCCTCATCACTCACTGGCTGGGTCTTGGGAGACTCCTCATCACTCACTGGCTGGGGCTTGAGAGACTCAGGCAGCGCTGTATAGCCCTTGTGGCTTAGCGCTTCTTTTTTATTATAATAATAATAATTGAGAGACTCATCACTCACTGGCTGGGTCATGGGAGACCCATCACTCACTGGCTGGGTCATGGGAGACTCATCACTCACTGGCTGGGTCATGGTAGACTCCTCATCATTCACTGGCTTTGTCTTGGCAGACTCCTCATCATTCACTGGCTTTGTCTTGGGAGACTCCTCATCTCTCACTGGCTGGGTCTTGGGAGACTCATCACTCACTGGCTGGGTCTTGGTAGACTCCTCATCATTCACTGGCTGGGTCTTGGTAGACTCCTCATCATTCACTGGCTGGGTCTTGGTAGACTCCTCATCACTCACTGGCTGGGTCTTGGTAGACTCCTCATCATTCACTGGCTGGGTCTTGGTAGACTCCTCATCATACACTGGCTGGGTCTTGGGAGACTCATCACTCACTGGCTGGGTCTTGGTAGACTCCTCATCATTCACTGGCTGGGTCTTGGTAGACTCCTCATCATTCACTGGCTGGGTCTTGGGAGACTCATCTCTCACTGGCTGGGTCTTGGTAGACTCATCATTCACTAGCTGGGTCTTGGTAGACTCATCATTCACTAGCTGGGTCTTGGTAAACTCATCGTTCACTGGCTGGGTCTTGAGAATCTCCTCATCATTCACTGGCTGGGTCTTGAGAATCTCCTCATCATTCACTGGCTGGGTCTTGAGAATCTCCTCATCATTCACTGGCTGGGTCTTGAGAATCTCCTCATCATTCACTGGCTGGGTCTTGAGAATCTCCTCATCATTCACTGGCTGGGTCTTGAGAATCTCCTCATCATTCACTGGCTGGGTCTTGAGAATCTCATCATTCACTGGCTGGGTCTTGAGAATCTCCTCATCATTCACTGGCTGGATCTTGAGAATCTCATCATTCACTGGCTGGGTCTTGAGAATCTCATCATTCACTGGCTGGGTCTTGAGAATCTCATCATTCACTGGCTGGGTCTTGAGAATCTCCTCATCATTCACTGGCTGGGTCTTGAGAATCTCCTCATCATTCACTGGCTGGGTCTTGAGAATCTCCTCATCATTCACTGGCTGGGCTTTCCATTTCGGAAGCAAAGTGGGTGCATGTTTTCCCTCCTTTGTCATCCGCAATTTCCGTGCGTTCTCTCGGGATGCTGCACTGAACATCTTGCGCACATCTCTGATGCGCTTCTGATATTCGCTTAGAGGCTGAGGTCCAGACCCCAAGTTAATATTATACACCATATCGGAAAATAATATTTTTTCTAGTTTTATTCTTTGTATAAAGAAGCACTAACTACTATACTTTGTTAAGTAGTGGGTGACAAATTAGTGAAATTGAAATTTTCTAAATCTCTAACTGAAAAATTTCTCTTGCTCAACTCAAGAGTAGTTTTCTCAGACTTATTAAGTTTCTGTAAAAATCTGTTATTTAGTTACCTTGGATATATCGTTATGAGCAGAAATATCATAGTCTCTGTTATTTAGTTACTTTAGAACTGTGGGTATGAGAAGAATGACGATCGTGATGTAACTGAGCGAAGTAACAATTGGTTGAGAACTGGAGGAATGTAGTGCATACTAGTATATATATATAAGATATTCTGAAAAACATAGTCAGGTAGGTCGTGGTAGTATCAAAGTGGGATAACATACATGATGGTGGTAGTATTGTAGTGAGATAACATACATCGTGGTGGTAGTATTGTAGTGAGATAACATACATGATGGTGGTAGTATTGTAGTGAGTTATATAACATAAGATAAGATAAGATTTCGTTCGGATTTTTAACCCCGGAGGGTTAGCCACCCAGGATAACCCAAGAAAGTCAGTGCGTCATCGAGGACTGTCTAACTTATTTCCATTGGGGTCCTTAATCTTGTCCCCCAGGATGCGACCCACACCAGTCGACTAACACCCAGGTACCTATTTGCTGCTAGGTGAACAGGACAATAGGTGTAAGGAAACGTGTCAGAATTTCCACCCGCCGGGAATTGAACCCGGGCCCTCCGTGTGTGAAGCGGGAGTTTTAGCCACCAGAACACCGGGCCACATACATGATGGTGGTAGTATTGTAGTGAGATAACATACATGATGGTGGTAGTATTGTAGTGAGATAACATACATCGTGGTGGTAGTATTGTAGTGAGATAACATACATGGTGGTGGTAGTATTGTAGTGAGATAACATACATCGTGGTGGTAGTATTGTAGTGAGATAACATAC